CCGCGAAAAAATTAATTAGGAGGTTCTTAATCCTCGTGTCTGAGTTTTGTAATTATATGAACGTAGCAAAAACTTTGATTTACTAGTGGTAGTAACAAAATTCACATTTCGTAGCTGAAAGAATGTAAATATGGCTCTAACCTTGCAGAATGTTAGTTTTAAAAGAAAAATAGAATTTTTTTAATTAATTATTCGGCTATTTGCATCCTCGAAACATTCGACATTTATTCTATTTTTGATTAAATAATCTAAATGTTATTTTAGAGATGACACATAATAATCCAGGCGTTTTATAAAAATTTCAATAACTAAATCACTTAAATCACGTAATGACAATGGAATATTATTTATAAGGAAAATTCCAAAAGTATTTACCTTCGATATTTATCGGTCCTTGTATGGTTGATGGATCAATGGCAAGATTTCCTTGGGAAATTCGATAAATAGGAATCTGGAGTTGTTTCAAGACTTTAAGTGGCATTTCGGTGCTGGATACTTTGGGACTTTCAGCAGCTGCACTTTCTGACGATTTCTCTTGAAGCTGCGCCTAATTGTTTGAAAATTAAAACTTTAGCATTGTATTAAAGTATATTTATTTAAGATAAACATATATGCACTGATAAACAAAAGGACACTTTTTACATTTGCAATATTTGTTTCGTTAAAATCTGAATAATTTTTTAACTTTCATTTAATCTGTTTATTGAAATATTGCAGCTTTTGCCTGAAAGAGGCTTCTTTTGTGAAATCTATTTCTTAAAAATTTGTAACTTATAATTTACGTCTCAGAATATGAAATTAAAATTTGTCTTTTTTATAGTACCTCAGAAGCCATTTTCATCATTTCTCCTTCTAAAATTCCTTCTTCGCTCATTTTCATTGTTTCTCCTCCTAAGATTCCTTCTTCGCTCATTTTCATCGTTTCTCCTCCTAAAATTCCTTCTTCGCTCATTTTCATCGTTTCTCCTTCTAAAATTCCTTCTTCGCTCATTTTCATCGCTCTTCCTTCTAAAATTCCTTCTTCGCTCATTTTCATCGTTTCTGACAGATTTTCAGATTTCATACTTTCTTCTAGTTTCTCTTTGAGTTGTACGTCTTTTTCCAATTCCATAGTATCACTCTCTATTGGCACTAGTCCCTTCAGAAACACATTATTTCTTCCTAGGTTATTCGTTTTCAGTATCTCTTCCTTTTCCGGTAGAATCGCCACGATTACATCTTGCACTTCCTGCACGCAATAGTTTCAATTAAACGGGTAGAATATTGTTAAAAAATTGAAGTGTCTCAATGGAATCGAATAGAGTCAAAATTCAAAGAAATAATCCCAAGAATTTTCTCCTTAATTTTCAAAATTTTAATTCCAACGTACGAGGTGAAAATTTTCCAACGAGTTTTAAGCAATTTTCACAGTAAAATATTTCAAAATTAATCAAATACTTTTCTGCGACAAAATTAATTCCAAGAATTTTACAAATTAAATTATTCTTAGAACTTACAAAGTTAAAGTTTACCAACAAATTCTGAACATTTTTCGCAGTGAAGTATTTCAAAATTAATCAAATTTTCATATCAGATACCGTTCTACAAAAAAGTTCCGTCAATTGTTCAAATTTTTAGGTAAAATGTATTCTACAAGTTTCCCAATCATTCTTCCACATTGCGCCCTATACTTACCGGAAGCGGTGCCACAGGAAGATTGGTGGCCGCTACCCGGAAGCCATTTTCCCCGTCAGCTGTATAGTGAGCAGTCTGAATAACGCCTGCGTCATCGATGTAACTGTAAGCACCGCGTGTTTCGCCATTCAGCGTTCTAACTTCCGATCTCGCTGAGCTTGGGGCACTGTAGCCAAAACTGTACTGGCCAAGACTGTCCTGATAGGCGAGGACCTCCGCTGTTGGCAGAGCATAACCAACAGAAGCAAGAGAGACAGCAAGAAGAATCTGAAAATGAGCATTTAAAATCCTCGATAATAATGAAATTATATTTCATTGTAAATTTCTTGTCGTTCTCCAGTAAATGTTAAATACGTTGTTTTACATGGGAGGAATTATTTCATTTTGGAGGTAATTACAGTAACGAGACTAGAATATTACACAACAGTGGACATTTTTTATGTTAGATTGAAATAACGTGTTATTGTAAAATAAGTTGAAGTTATTTAGAGTGACAGTTGAGTAAGCTTAAAAAATATGCATAAGCATAAGCTTTTTAAGGACACACTTGTTTATTTAGTAAAGAATTGTTTCCTGTCTTTCGTTTAACCACTAATTTCAAATTACAGTCAAGAAAATTAAATGTTATTTATGATGCTGTTTAATTGTTGAATATCAGAAAATCGAAATAAATTCAAGTAGGTGAAACATTCTGTTAATAAAGAATGATTTATTGCATTTAAAATTTGATAAGGTGCAGTGTGTACATTCTAAATGCTAAGTTATGGTTCAAATTCTAGCTGAGGCTGTGAACTCAAGTACAGTATGAAATGCAGGCTATAAACTTCAAACTCAGTAGGTCATAAAATGCTAAATTGTAAGTTGAACTATAAATTTCAGATTGTATTATAGAATATGGGTTTTGTATCATAATCCACACCATAAAGGCTAGGTGGTATTCTAGACCACTTGACGTTCGATATAAAATAAAGAATAGTAAAGGAAGAATATGCAAGTATCAAATTATGTTAGAATTTTTCACCAGTGCACGAAAAATTTTCGAACATCTTCACCCGAACATCCATTTCTTTAAGCACCTACTACTTGATCTACTTACCTAGTAAAAAACAAAAGGTATACGACAATTAAAATCAAACAGGAAACCACAAGTAATTTGGCAATGAAAGTGGGTTAAAAATTAGATTCATATACTAACCCAGTCCCAGTAAGAATCTCAAGTAACCTTAATAATCCTTATTAATAAACCTAACTTAAGCAAGCGTACGTAGACAAATTTATTAGTTTCAAATTTTTAAAAATTACAAGCAGTCTAGTGTCTTTTATCGTAGGCGAACATCTAATTCCAAGATTAAGATTGTTAAATAAAAAGTAATACCCAAGAGAGAAAATACAAGTACTTCAACAATCTTGTCCAGATTATTAAATAAAATATAATACCCAAGTATAATACTTCAACAATCTTTACCACAATGAAGCTTCTAAATACACTGTGCCCTCTTTCGGAAACAGTAAAACAAGTCGATTATCCCACTGTACAAGCCCGAACGACCTAAACAATCCCCCGAACCCTGACCTCTCCAAGTACCCATAGCTTGAGAAGCACTGCTCCATCCCCACGAAACCCAACCACTTCATCCATATCTATCTACGTCCAAAAGGAAGGAAAACAATCTGTTCACCCACGCTGCTGCTTACGTATGCACACTTCATGATGATTCGATATCTTTGAACTCTCCAAACGTGTCCGCCACTTTATATAGAAAACACAACGCGCCCGGGACGGTTCCCTGGTCACGGAAATGCAACGATCAGAGGAACAGAGGATCTCGAAACTGGTCACGCCTGTCTTCAAGGTCTCCGTTGTCTGGAATCCGGCTCCAGAACGTTTTCAACCGAGCTTTTTTTCCATCAGCTGGAAACCTGCACGCCCAGCTATGCCCTAATATGTCCACCCTTCAGGGTCGTCTTGCATCGAGGATCCGCGTGCACTCAAGGGTCCTCTTATCGTAACGTCACGGATAAGAAACTGTTTTTCTTTTCCACGGTGCATGAGGCTTGTCAAAGGGGGGGAATTTAGGTGACTTTCTTATGGGAACTGTTGCGTGATCTCCAAGTGGCTCGAGTATTTGATGGTTGGTGTGAAATTTCAATGGGAAGATTGGAATCTTGTTTAGAGGGGGATTGAGGGTTTATTGTGTTGAGTTTAAGGGATTTTTCATGGGACGAGATGCTGGTAGAAGGTTAAGGGAGTATGCTCAGTCAGGAAGTGGAAAGAAACGTGATATTTGCGAATTTGTTTTGAAGAAACTTGTAAACTTTTTGCGATATAACTTGGCTTGTTTGAAAGACTATATTTTCAAGCATCTATCGTAATTTTTTCACTGAAAAATATTAATAACTGTCAAAGATGTGATTTCTTTCCTGAATGTCCTTTTTTTAAAAGCGTTTTGCGGTGACCTGCTCGTATCTGGATTATTTAAAATCGATAATTCAAAAAAATTTAATTTTTGCATTAAATTGTCTAGTCTTTGAGCGAAGCGCGTTTGAAAAAACTGATTTGCAACGAAATGGCAGCCGTTCAAAGTCAAGGTATCAGTTTTCAGTATAAAAAAAACGCTTGATTTTAGTCAATTAAAGAAAAAAAGAAATCCTTCGTCAAAAGACTAGTTCTCTATCCCTACGATAAGCCTGTAAAATTTGAAGTAAATCGATGCGGTGATTTTTGAAATATTTTGGTCACCGATTTGGAGAATGTGGTTCTAAGAAAAACGCGTTTGAATTTTCACGTTGAGTATACACACCAACTTCATTTTTGAACTCGCACAGCTTCGTATATTTTAATCGAGTCAAATTGAAACTTTCGGGAAATATTTTCGAGATGATACGCTTAAAGAAAATGTCGAAACCCAAAAATTGAATTTTTCGAAATTTCTAACTGAGCTCTTAATCTCTTAACCCTTTCGCTGCGGCAGATTTTAGTGCGTAACGCACGTGGTAGACGGTAGATGTTCAACCGCGGCCGCAAAATCTTTTGTTTTGGTGTTTTTAAATTTCTCAAATCTTTCAAAATTAAAATTTTAAATTTTAAATTAAAAATTGCATTACTTTTCAAAATTAAGGTGGAAGTGCGCAAAGGCCAAAAATTAAGGTGAAAGTGTGCCAATAGTCGGCAATAAAAATTTTCAAAACGCCTATAGGCGCCAACAGCAGTGAAAGGGTTAAGAAAGGTACACTTACCTTTTTCTCAGGAACCGTTACAGAATATTTGCTATAGATTTTTTCCACGCGTTTTAAAATATTGCTTTCAGCAAAAATATAACTTTTCAAGGAATATTTTGAAATAAAATAACCAATTAATATAAAAATTTCTCACGATTAAGAATACAATAATAATGTTTCAAACGAAATTCAATTTTGCAAACCACTTAATGTAGACAAAGGAAACGAATTTTTTGTCAGCGTTTTCAAAGCACTTTATTATAAATGTCACTTTACATGTTCACGAAACATACCGTCTGGCTATTAGAGTTTATCGCCGATGCTTTGAGAAAAAGTTAACGAGACCATAAACAGCATGATGGCATCATTGACAAAGAGTAGCAAATTTGTGCTAATGCACCGCAAAAATCCGTGATTGCATCTCATTAGCGGTCAGATACGATCTCTGACGAAGAGAAGGCCCTCGTTATCTCTACAGGTTAATAAATAGTTTATTTTACACGCACATCAGAAACGTGTTTCACATTAACGAGTGAGATACTCGGGCTATATTTAGAAGCCAGTGCCTTAAATGCCGAATTAACACAATGTAATTGAATGTATTAATTATTAAAAATACTGAAAATTATTGAAAATTCGTAAAAATGATAATATTCTACCTGCATCAGTGAGAGAGTGAAGATTTTATTTTGAAAACAGGAGATTCGAATGATATCACAGAAATTGTAAACAGAAAAATTTAATCTAATCTAATAACAATAGAATAAATTTAAAAAAATCGTATCAAGATATTTAGAAATCACAGTAATTTATCTTTAAAAGAAATTGACAAATTTTATAATTAATTCTCCACAGAAATTGTAAAAAAAAGTTTTAATTAAATATAATAAGAATAGAATAAA